CAAATCGTTATTTTTACCGCGTCATGGATAATGGTGAAAAAAATCATAGAACGTGGTTAGTTTATTCACAAAAAGCAAACAAAGTTTTTTGTTTTTGTTGTAAACTTTTTTGTTTAAATCCTATTATGTTGGCTCAAAATGGTGGTAATGATTGGCGCCATATTTCACGAATCTTAAAAAGACACGAAAAAAGTCTTGATCATTTTAACTGCTACAGCAAGTGGGTGGATCTGAAAAACAGATTACAAAAAGGCACTTTAATTGATAAAATTTTGATTAAAAACTTAATTAAAGAAGTAGAACATGATCCAGTTATGGAAAAACATTTGTTTAGAGCAACAAAAAAAACAAATTCTGTGCACTATTTGGCAAAAGATATTCAGAATGAAATCATTGACTTGATTGGCAAATCCATTAAATTTAAAATTTGCTTAAATGTCCAAAAGTCCGTGTATTTTTCAATTATTGTTGATTGTACACCAGATATCAGTCACCAGGAGCAAATGTCAATGCTGGTACGACATGTTGATGTAGAGGATAAGAACAAAATTCACATTAATGAAAGTTTTATTGGATTTCATATAATTGAAGGTTCGACAGGTCTAGATTTTTTCAAATGAGATTATTGACTCTCTGGTAAAAAATAACTTGTTGGTAGAAACATAAGAGGTTAGAGCTATGACAATGGTGCAAATATGAAAGGCGTAAGAAATGGTGTACAGGCTTTTATTCTAAAAAAAACAACCGAGCAGTTTATATTCCATGCTGCAGTCACACATTAAATCTGGCAGTTGTTGATTCTGTGAGATGTTCACCTAAAATTGCTATGTTTTTCAATATAATTGATCAAGTTTACAATTTTTTTTCTGCTTTAACAAAAAGATGGTTAATTTTGCAATCAAAGTGTCCATCTTAAAAATTTATTTTAAAGATTAATTTTTTTAAGGAAAACTACAAACAGGAAAAATTTGACTCTGTTGTGTGTATTGCACAAGAACTTGCTTCTTTTTTAAAGGTAGAAGAAAGTTTTGCATCAGAATCTGCTTTAAGTGTAATAAAAAGAAAGAAATTCTTTGATGTACCTGAACAAAACTTTGAAAAACAGTTATGTCCAAAAGAAAAGTATAAACAAGATGTTTTTAATAAAATATTTGAATGTGCTACTATTGCAATAATAGAGAGATTCAATGATTTTAATGCTGGCATTGCACCTTTTAGCTTTTTATTTGATATTAAAAAGCTCTCAACAGTCAAGGAAGATGATTTAAAATCTCATTGCATCGCGTTGGAAAAAAAACTGAAAATGGAAAAAAAGATATTTCTGGCAAGGAACTAAGTTTTGAATTAATGTCTCTTTCTTCTCATTTTACTGAAAATTTGGATCCTGAAAATGCTATAAAATATTTGTACGCAAATGGTTTGAATGAAATCTATGCAAATGTATCTATTGCATTGAGAATTCTTCTTGCATTACCAATAACAGTAGCTAGCGCCGAGAGATCTTTTTCGAAATTAAAAATTATCAAAAATTATTTAAGATCGACAATGGGCCAGGACAGGTTGAACAACCTTGCAATGATTTCCATTGAAAATAAAACTGCCGCTGATTTAAATATTGAAGTTATCCGGTTGAAATTTTCGGAAAGGAAAGCTCAAAAAGTAATATTTTCGAAATAAATTATTTTATCAAAAGAGTTGTATTAAATTAAGTTGAAAATATAAACTTTGATTTATAAAGGCGCCAAATTATTTTTTTAATTGATAAAAATTGTTATAATATATTTATAACAATTTTTATCAATAAAGTTATTTTACCGTTTCAATTACCTAGTTAGTTAGCCAAAAAAATTACTTTTCGCTTTTGATTTAAAGCTAACCAACATTTTTTTGGGAGTTACTAAACATTATGGAAAATAAGCATAAATGTATTGTAAAAGTGAATTGGATGTACATACTAGAAAACTAAGAACATTTAGAAGTTTTGGTAATAATAAATACTTCATTAATTGCATAAAATATGAGGATTGATTTAGGTATATTTGCTTATTGTTATTTACAGATCAACAGTATTTTAATTTTGAGAAAGATGAAAGAAATAAAATCTCATAAAATATAATTCACAACAGGTATACATGAATAATATGTATAAACAATTAGATATATATGTAACAGTAGGTGGAAATTTTTCTTCATGTAAAAAATCTAATATCAAATTTGTTGAGAAACAAAATGGAATTATTTTACAATTTATAAAAACATATTATATTAAATTTAATCCATTTTAAGTTTAAAAATCTGCAGGAGTTTAACAACATGTAATTAACATTATTTTAAGTGTAATTTTTTAATGCTTATTTACCTTTATGTTAATTCAGATTTTTAGTATCAAATATTTAATATCAGATTTTTAATATCAGATTTTTAATATAAAGTTTAGTATCAAATTCTTTCATCATTTGATTGATGTTGGATATATTAAAAGATTTACTTTTAGAGGTTTGGCAAAACCTTGGTGTTCCAGAAATTCTATTTTATGACATGGTATCAAGGTATTCTCGTTATTTGAAAATTTTTGAGTTATAATTTGTGCATTTGTTGTAAATTATTTAAAAAGATAAATATCTGTGTTAAGGATCTGGCTAGAATCAAGTTAACTACAAAAGTATTCTTGAAAAAAAAATAGACTTAATGAAGCAGGATGTTCTTACTTTAGTTCATTTCAATAGTACAATGCTTAAAAGATTTTAGGGTAATTTTTGCTTTGGATAGGAGTTTTAGGAAAATATTGTTAAGGTTTTAAATATATTTAAAAGTTTAATTTGCTAAAAGTTCTTACAGAAACCTTTGACACAAATTTGTCTTTAACTTGGAAAAGATTGACCATAAATATTTCTTTCACAAACATTTAAAGTCAATTTTCCTATGCAGACCTTTGCAAACTAGAAAAACATATGATTTGACTTATAAATGAATATTATTTTAGCTTAATTTAATATGCCAAGATTTCGACATAAAAAATTTGAAAAAGCTATAATTTATAAAATAAGTATAGTTTTTCCACTAAAATAAAAGAAAAAAAACATAACTTTTTTATTTAGATGGTTAATAATAAGGAAAAAAGAAAAAAAAAGTTTACCTGCTTCCTATTCTAATTATGGACAATGAGGATGAAACAACTCCAGCATATTTTCCTAATTTATGAAAACCATATTTTCAATATTACAAGTGTATTGTAAATATAAATTCTAATACATTAACAATTAATGACACAATAAAAATCAATTTAAAAAAAAAAAAAGATCTACAAAATGTGACAAAAATCCTCAAAAATTTCTTATTTATTAAACTACTTTTTATTTTGGAACTGAACTGAGACCTTATTTGGGCGATACTAGGAAAAATTAACCAATAAAAATTGAAATAAGCTAATAATATATTACAATATAATAATATTCAGATAATAATATAAATTGAATAAGTAAAAACAGGTTGTGAAAATTCAAACAGAAATTTTTTATTCTATGATTAAAAGCAGCTATATACTTAGATATCATTGTTAAAAACTAAATTAGAGTTATAAAAAGTATACATAAAAAGAAAGACATGGTTTTTATTTTTAATTTTTTTTTTTTTTTTTTTGTACATAAAAGCATACAATAACTACTTGACAGTCTTGACATAACATATATAGTTACAACTATTAAATAATTTGACTGTCGACTAATTTATTTTCTCAAGTTAAAATTGACTAATAATTTTTTGAAATCAATCAAGTCGACTAAAAGTCGATTTAGTCAAAGTATAGAATTAATTTCTTTTTTTGAAATAAACTGTAATAAAAATAATAAAGTAATTCAATTTAGCTTTCATTTTTTAATATCATATCATTTAAATAATAATGGAGAAAAACAATATAAGGGAGAAGGGCCTTTGATATTGGGAAAATCCATTCTCAGAACCTAATGGTTTAGAGACTGCCTCAATTACATGCTACAATTATATATTATATACATTATTTGATGTTTTGTATATCTGTTAGAAATCTTGATACCGGCTTATTGTTTGGTTTTAGTAACTGCTTTGTACTTTTTCTTCGGTTTTTTACACAAATGTTACAAATTATCCGTTTATTTTTTGGGGTAGTGGTGGTCTACCACATTTTCTACTTCTGGCACTTCGTACAAGTATTTTTTTATCAAGTGTACCTTTAGTTCTGTTTACTGTCATCACAGAAACTAAATTTGCATTTTTTCTTTAGGAGTGATTTGAATGTTTTAACAAAGCAGATATTTCTATAATTTTTTTGTTTGATATATCTTTAGCTTTTTCCATTTTTAAGCACCAAAGTTCAAATATTTTTAGTAAAAATAACTAATGTAAAAAAATGAGTCAGAATATATGTTTGAGATACCTAACTTCCAGACATGAAACAAACTCCAAATATTTATTTATATTAAATTGTTTGTTCTTATATCAAATAAGGATGCTTTGCAAAAGTTTGCAATGATTGGAGCCTTGGAACAAAAAAAACCCAAAATGTTAGCTACACTTGCCCAAACCTGAGAGCAACAAGTGGATAAAATATTTTTCTACTATTCTCAATTAAGTATATATTCATCGATAAATTTTAAAACTCACGCAATAATCTCTTAGCGTTCAACAAATATGGTCTTATAAAATTTGCAACCCCTTAAAAATGAGAAAGGTTAAACATTTTATAAAAGATAAAAAATTTTTGTGTGAAATTTAAAATTTTTCGATCCATATAATAAAGTTAAGAATAGAGTAAAAATTATTTTGTCAACTTGTTGTTCTCGTGTTTAGAGCAGGTGTAGCTAAAATTGAAGGGTTTTTTAGTTCCCAGGCTTCAATCATTGCAATATATTATATATATTCATATATATATATATATATATATATATATATATATATATATATATATATATATATATATATATATATATATATATATATATATATATATATATATATATATATATATATATATATATATATATATATGTGATGTACCAATGACAAGGGGCAATTGAAGCTTATTATAGAGTTAATTGTATGTATATAAAGGTAATATAATAGTATTAGGTATACAGTTTGCATATATAAGGTCCGCCTATGCACCAATTTGGTTTGGTGCATATGCGGACCATATTTGGTGCATATGCGGACCAGCATTGACCAATGCCGATACATTGGTCAATGCTGATTAACCAACTGATAGTCAATTCGGTTAGTTGTTTGCTGGTTAGCAATGGCATAGGCTAAGTAGGTCCTGTGGCTAATAATAGGTAAAACCTATTATTAGCCACAATTGGCCTTTGCTACCAGTAAATCACTAACATATATATATATGTGTATGTGTATATATATATGTACGTTTCAGATGAGTCTTTATTGATGAAACACAATGTTAATTTATTAGGCGTTTTTTTATGTTTGTTCATTTATACATATATACATATATTTTCTATATATATATATATTCATATATACATATATACACACACATATATATATATATATATATATATATATATATATATATATATATATATATATATATATATATATATATATATATATATATATATATAGTATATATATATATATATATATATATATATATGAGATATAGAAATAAATAAAAATAGAAATATTCAAAGACAAAAATAATTACATACCTACATTTACTTCAGTCACATTAAATGTCTAAACATGAAACAAAATGAATAAGTAAAGAAGATTGAAATACTTAAATTATTTAATCCGCAATTAAAAAATTATTTTTACATAAATAAAATTATTTCAGTACATCTTCAGAGACACTAAAGTTTCACAATATTCAAAATTTTCAAAAATTATCAATAATTTAGTCATTTTTATAAAAATATTGAAAGGTTACACATAACCGTAAATAGCATAGACACAAGCAATGAAAACAATTATTGTAAAAATGATGGAATTAAAATAAGACTTGAAGGAGAAAGAGAGTTAACAATGTTATTATAACAAAATCAAAATGAAAAATTTGTTGCTAACATCCATATTATAAAAATGGTGTTTAAAATGGAATTTTAAATTCTAAACCCTTAGACTTTTAAAATATTTACTAAATATTATTATATTTTGAACTTTTTTAATTGTTTATGCAACATATACAATGATCGCAAACAGTGACCAACAGAGCAGTCCAGAGATGTGATAATAAAAACAGATTGTAGATGGTGTCATTGCGTGAGAACCAGCAATGAATGTAAAGATCTTTTGACAGAAGGAAAAAAATTTGTTTTTGCTGCTGAGGGAGAGGGGGGACAACAACTTATGCACTTGTCATACTTACCAAATGCCATCTATTGTTAATAACAATAGATGGCAATCAAAAACTAATGCAGATAAATTTGTTTGCAGATAAACTTGTAGAACCTGGTAATTCAGCAGTGAAATCTGGTTCGAATTTTTTGACCATTCTTTAATGTGCTTCCACTTAGCACCTCTGTACTCTATCACTTTTCTCTTAGCTCTTCATTGTCCTCTTTTTATCCTCTCCAAAAATGCACTCTTTTAGATGTAATTTCTGATCAAATTGCTCTCTCTTTACACCTCTGCCAATATTGTTATATTGTTGTTGTTGACTTTAATGCTCATCACACTAATTGGCTTAGCTCTAATGCCATTGATCCTGCTGACACTAAAGCCTTTAACTTCTGTATTTCTCAATCTCTTACTCAGAAAGTTAACTTTGTGACTCATTTTCCTGACAACCCTAATCATTTATCTTCACTCTTTGATTTATATCTTGTCTCTGATCCTAGCTTGTGTCCAGTTTCTACTTTTTCTCCCTTAGGTGGTTCTGGCCATGCAATGATCACTTTGAATCGATCATTTTGTGCTACCTTACTGCTACTTCCTCATACATTAAAACTGACAGTCTTTGCGTTGATATCATTTCTTTTTCAGCTAATAAATGAATGCTTTTATTCTTTCTTGTCAATTTTAAGTCAAGTCATTCTATTTTATGGTTTTTACCTAAATGAGCAAACTGCTATATCTAATCGTAATCAGTTTTTTTTTGCATCTTTTTCTGAAAAACAACTCTCTTAAGAACAAACAGCTATTGATTGTTGCAAGAAATCAATGTAAAAAGGTGATGTCTGATGCTAAGCTCTATTATTCTTGATTCACTAAATCTTGATTCTCAAAAGTTAGGCTCTCAAGTGATCTCAAAAGTTAGGCTCTAGAGACTTTGAAAAATTTTTCAACAGCATTGATAACAAGAGGAGGTCTAACATGTATATATATATATATATATATATATATATATATATATACATATATATATATATATATATATATATATATATATATATATATATATATATATATATATATATATATATATATATACTATATATATATATATATATATATGTATATATATATAAATATATATATATATATATATATATATATATATATATATATATATTATATATATATATATATATATATATATATATATATATATATATATATATATATATATATATATATATATATATATATATTATATATTATACATGGTGCACATCATCATCATATACACCATGTATAAGAGTATGTAAATTGAGGCTGATTCCATCAACAGCTGAAAAATATCATAGTATTAACAGTGCCATGTTGCGCATGGACGGTTTCCCAATTTGTACTTTTGGTATGCATAGTCAAGGCCATATTAGAGCCCTTTTTATGGTTTATTAATAGTAATGAGGCAATTGCTTGGGCTATTAAATCTATCATTCACTATTTTTTGTGGTCTTCGAAGTAACTTTTCTTCTGTTGAGTTTTATTTCTTACAAATTTCACGAGATCTACTTGCTCTTTGTGAGAATAATTTGAGTTAAGCTGTCTCATCTTGTGATCTTAGTGTTGACGATTATCTTTCTTTAATTCGTAGAGACTCTAATAGTCACATGCTTGGCCTGGGCATTTACATTTGTAAAAATTTACCCATATGTAGGGAAACTAGGTTTGAATCCACAAACTACTCTTTTATGTGCTTTCGGTTAGCACCATTTCACTCTATCACCTTTCTCTTTGTTTTATATCGCTCTACTTTATCTCAAGACTGCATTCTTCTCTTTTTAATGTTATTTCTGATTATATTGACCAAACCCTCTCTTTTTATCCACCAATATTGATGTTGTTGGTGACTTTAATGTTTATCACAATGAATGGCTTAGCTCCAATCATTTATCTTCTCTACTCGACTTAAGTTTTGTTTATGATCAAAACTATTATCTCATTCTTCTTTATTATCAGAAATCCCCTATCATTGTACATCTCATAACTACCTTAAAGCTGACTGTGACTCTTTCAGTGATTTTCTTCGTGATGGCCCTTAAGTAGAAATCTTTCATCTTCCTGTTGAAAAATGTGCTTCTAACATAACTTCGTGGATTCAGACTGGCATGGAATCCTTTATTCCCTCTCAACGGTTACAGATCAAGCCTCACTCTTCTCCATGGTTTTGCTCACATTGTGCTGTAACACATCGAAACCATTACTTCTATATCTATCAGCGAAACAATTCTCCAGAAAACAGAAGACAATTTATTACTCCTAGGAACCATTGTAAAAAGATTTTGTCTAATGCCAAAGCCCGCTATTCTCAGGTCATGAAATCTTGTGTTTCATCACAAAAATTAGGCTCTCGTGACTTCTGGAGAACCTTTAACAGTATCAATAATAGGAGCAAGTCTGTAATTCCACATCTTTTGTATGGTTCAGACTATGTCACCTCACCTCACACCTCACACAAGACAAAGCTGAATTTTTTGTTAAGAAAATTCAACAATATCATCTCTCGATTTCACTAATTGCGTTCTATCTGATATAGCCGTCAAAGAGGTTAATCCATTGCTTGAGATTCATATGACTCCAGCTCATGTATATAAAGTGATTTCCTGCTTAGACTCTTATACAGCTTGTGGCCCGAACAATATACCTGTTAAAGTCTGCCAGAAGCGTTCTCTAGAGCTGTCATCTATCATTTCAAAGCTATTCAACAAGTGCTTATCAGAGTCTTGTTTTCCAGCTTGCTGGAAAACAGCATCTGTTATCCTATTTTTAAAAATTCTGGAGAGCAATCTGATTCGTCGTACTTCTGTCCCATTATTCTTCTTCCTATCATATACAAGGTTTTTGAATCTTTAATTTACAATCACTTAATCTCTCATCTTAAATGTAATAACTTATTTTCTGATCATCAATATGGAATTTTCCATATTGATGATCAGAACAATCTTCTAGTTCTACGGCTGATTTACAAACAGTAAAAACCAATAGGATTTATCGTGCATTAAATAAAGGTAGAGAGGTTAAGATCATCGCTCTTGACATTTCCAAAGCGTTTGATATAGTTTGGCATGCATTTTTCCACAAACTTTCTTCTTACGGTGTATCTGGAAACATCTTTAAGATTATTGAATTCTTTCTTTCGAATTGTAGTACAAATTTGTCATTGATAGACAGCACTCTTCTTTTTATTCTGTAACCTCAGTGGTTCCTCAAAGTTCAATCCTTGGCCATATACTCTTTTTAATTTACATTATTGATCTTCCAAATATTCTCACATCTAAGGTGGCATTGTTCCCTGATGATACAACCATTTATTCTTGTCATGATAAGAAGCCCAATCTCTCTGATTGCTTAGAGGGGGCATTGAGCTAGATTGGATGTCACTTCTGCTAAAGAAGAATGTCACTTCTGCTAGAGAAGGATGTAACTTCTGCAACAACATGGGGCTCACAGTGGCTGGTGAACTTTAATTCAAATAAAGCTCAATTTTTTTTAAACGATCCTTATCGCAATAATTTAGACCTTATATTTATGAGCAGTAATGTACTCGATGAGTCATCTACCTTTCATCTTCTAGAATTAACTCTTACTTCATATCTTTCTTGGAAACCATATATCAAATCTGTTGCAAAGTTAGCATTGCTATATTTCTTGTTGTTGCTATATTTCTTGCTATATTTCTAATTGTATTTCTTTATCGAGCTTGACACTTTTTTACTCTGGATTCTATTCTCTATCTCTATAAATCTTAAATCCAGCCTTGTATGGAATACTGTTTGCCATATCTGGGGCGGATTTTCTAATGCTCTTTCTCTTTTAAACAAGGTGCAAAAACGCATTGTAAACATAATTGGACCTGTTCTTGCAACCAACCGTCAACCATTATTACATCGTTGTAATGTTGTTTCTCTTAATCTTTTCTACAAATTCTATAATGGGCACTGCTCTAAAAAGCTAGCATTTCTTGTGCCATTTACTAAAATTCACTCTCGTGTTACTCGTCATTCAATTAAGTTTTATCCTTTTTCTGTTCTGTTCCTAAGTGCTTAAAAAACTCTTATTCGCCTAGATTTTTTTCTCAAACATTAGTTCTTTGGAATTTGCTTCCTTCATCTTGCTTTCTGATTCATATAATTTGCAATCTTTTAAGTCATCTGTCAATTGTTATCTTGCTCTAAAATCTTCATCTTTTCTCTTCCAGTAACTTCCAACACTAATTAATAGTTGCTTGCAGCCTTGCTGGAAAGCAAAGATGTTTAAAAAAAAAATTATATTTTTTAAACAAAAAATACGAATTTCTTTATTGTCATTGGTATGGTTTCACATTTTTCTAACGTAAGTGTGCCAGAAATAGTGTTAAAAATTTTGTTGACACATATTATCCCTCATCTAAATAGATACTATTTTGTTGAAACTTGAACCTAGAAGCAATATTAACATCAAGAAATAAATCCAAACTACAAATGAACAGCCATACCCTGAATCTTCCTTATTAATTGTCATTGTAAGAAAAAGTATATAAGTGAAACGAAAATGCAAATAAAAACACGCATGCAACAACACAAAAAAAGTACAAAAGAAAATAAAACAGAACGATTTACATTAGCCACACACATAAGACATTGTGCACAACAAATTAACTAGGATAATTGCAGAACTCTAAAGTTTGATAGGAAATTTGTGAGGCACTTAAAACACAGTACCATCAATTGTGGTACTGTGTTTTAATTACCAAAGTGCCCTTAGCAAAAACGGTATCAATTTAGATGAGGAGCAATATGTGTCAACAAAATTATGGACACTATTTATGGCACCCTTACGTCAAAAAAAATGAAACCATACCGTATTGACATAAAATAGAACTGCCGTTTTAAAAATAAGATATAAACAAAAACAAACAAAAACTTTTAAACTATATGTATATAAACGCATATATATATATATATATATATATATATATATATATATATATATATATATATATATATATATATATATATATATATATATATATATATATATATATATATATATATATATATATATATATATATATATATATATATATATATATATATATATATATATATATATATATATATATATATATATATATATATTTTATATATACATTTATATATATATATATATATATATATATATATATATATATATATATATATATATATATATATATATATATATATATATATATATATGCGTTTATATACATATAGTTTAAAAGTTTTTGTTTGTTTTTGTTTATATCTTATTTTTAAAGTAACTGACTTATTGGGATGTGAGCACTTCCACATCAGTTTACTGGAGCAATTTATAGCTTTGGCTAAAGGAAAAAAGTTAAAATATTTAAAAAAAAAATAGGTTTTTAAATTGTGGGTTCGAATTGAGAATATTTTTTGAATGGAATGAAGAATATTTTTATGTTTGATGAAATATAGTTACAAAAAAGTTTATTTTCAAAATATTTTTTTTAACCTGAGTGGTTACAATACATTATATTTAAAGCAAGAGACAAGATTGTGTTTTAAAACAACATTGCATTTATATTGTTTTTTTTTTCTTGCAAATTGCTTGTAGTTAAAGTTTGAATGAATGAGTTTGATAATTCAGTTTGAAGCAGAAAAAATAAAAAACTCAATATAAGCATGATGAAATAACTTGACTCAAGTCTTGAGTCATCAATTAATATTAATTTACATCAAAAGAAGGTTCAGCCTCAACAACAAATTTAAAGTGGCAAAAATTTTTAGCAGAAATATTTCTTGTAACAAATTTTAATGCGTAGTTTCATAAAAAATGTAGGCAAATCTCAATTTTTAAAAGTTATTAAAACTAAACAAGCTGTTACTGTACAATACTTACTATTGTTACACTTTACAACTGTTGACACCAATTTTTATGACTATATGTTGTTACTATTATTATTATTCTAATTGTTATTGTTATTTTTACTATTGTTATTATTAGTAATATTAATAAACTATTACAAATAATATTATTGTTAATTATATTTTAAAAGTTTAAAAATAAAAATAAAATATAGTAACCTTAATGAGTTGCGGTAAATATGAAGCAAGATTTGTTGTTGCCATTCCGTTAAGTAACTAAAGTAAAAAACTCACCAAAATCCAAAATGGAAAAAAATAAATTTTTTCAATATAAAAAAAAATTAGAATAATAAAAAAATTTTATTCTAAATGAAATAAATAATTTTACTGAAATTTTGTGACCTTGTTTAAAATTTATTTATTTTCGCCCTAAAAGCCTTGAAAAAAATTTTAAAACCTTTTAAAAGTATAAAAGTAACTCAAATGAATACAAATGATAGTGGAATAAGATTGGCTTATTTAACAAATACAAATGAGAATGGAATGAGATATACCTTATCAAAACATAAACCTTATCAAAAACAGTCAAAGAATTTAGTAAACATTAAAAAAACAAAATGCAAACTCACTTCCTCCTGAAATGTAAATAAATGTATAAGTGTATAAATGTAATGTAAATAAAATGTAATAAATGTATAAATGTAATGTAAATAAAATGTAAAAAAATGGAGCTATTAATATAAAATATTATGATTCAAATCAACATGAATTTCTAATAATCTAAAATAACTATTACTTGCAAATTAGTACTTCTTATTAACTTCAATTAATTTTTTAAGGAAATTTATCCTTTTCAATATATTGACAGCAAAATCTTTGCGTCAATAACAAACATTATATAATCGGGTTATTGTTTTTTCCTATGTGCAGTAAATACCCTGAATTCAATAGGGTTGGCACTCACCTATTAAAACCTATTAAAATCAAATATCTTGTAATTGCTCTATATATTATTTTATGGATCTTAATATAATACATATATTACTTTAAGATTACAAAATATTTCAAAAATTTATTGATGAAAATTATAAAACAACCTAAATGGAATTTAAAAAAGTATACTATTACTACTAACTTAATTGTTTGCATTATAGTTTTTATTATTTTTGATATTTTATGATTATTATCATTATAATTTTTATACTTACTATTGTAGTTATTACTACTTATTTTTATTTTATTAAATATTGTTATGATGCATTACCAGGTATATACATTATATTTATATATGTACTTTGTAAAAGATCTTGATTTTACAACTTTATTTCAGAATAACTTTAATTTTATTAAGAAATATGATTAGTATAATATATAGATTACTGCAAAATATTTAAACTCTACTTTCAAGAACATAAAGCATTTATGACATTAAATTTTACTATGTGGATCACAAAGTACTGTTACACTGTAATAAAAAAAATTATGTATTATGGTATTTTAAATGTTTTTGATTTGTAGAACTAAGCAACCAACAAACAGATTTAATAATTATGTATATTTTTATCAATGCTCACATAATACCATATATAAAACCATTTATCGAACTTTTTGTGTTTCGATATAATAAAAAGTATATTCTGTATAATAAATTAACACTAAATTTAAAATAATTAAAAAAAAAAATTTCAAGGATTTCACAAGACCCTTCACTTATTAATTGGGTACTTAATACTATGTTAGTTAGCATTTAATACTCTAACTGGTTTGACACCTGTAAGCATGTTTTTAGACATGTAGCACATACTAAGGAGTTTACTGAATATGATTTTACTAGTTTCTAACGCTTCAAGTTCAATAAATTTACAGATTTGTCGTAAAAAAATCCTTGTTGACGTTTTTTTGTTTCTCAATTATATTACAAAGAATGACTGCTACCTAAATTTTAAACAGTTGTAAGTTAAGTTCTGTTCTATTTATATCTATTTTATATATCATGTTTATAATTTTGAATAGTTGGAGCTCTGCTTTTTCTTTGTAACTCCATAACTCAAATATCTTAATAATTTAACAGTCACTTTTTAGATTTTGGAACCATACTGGTACAAAAAGGACTAGAAATGGATGAATAAAAGTCACATAAAGTGATTTAAGTAATTGACAGTCATTTTGCAAAATTGACATTATCAACAAAAATTTCCCAACTCCTTGCCTTATATGTTGCAATAATAATCAAGATTTTTAGAAAACATAGGTTTTTGATTTTGGTAATTTTATGCCATCTTAGATATTTTATAAAATTAATACATCAAAGATTCTTTTGTTGTTTAAGCCATAGTGTATCTAAACACATTTTTCAAAATTATGTTTTAAAAGCCATCTTCTGTCCATTAGAATGATACATTTAAATCTCCCAGTAAACATTTCTCTAAAAATCGGATTAAGTTTAGTTTCATAAAACCTTGGATTAAATTTAGTTTCATCAGCAAACAACTTGTAATTATACATTAATGAGCTTGCTAGATTATTAATCAACAAAATAAAGATCAAGGGTTCAATAAAAAAACCTTATGGCACAGTACAACTACTTGACAAGTCTTGTGGCCACCACAATTAAAAACTTCTTACTGGTGACCAATTCTTTGTCTTTTAATTAGAAAATAACTCCATCCATTTTAGAGCAATATAATGAAGAGCATTTATTTTCTTAGTCTAATTTGAGGAACACTATTGAACCAAGTTTAACATTTCTACGATGAGAGGTACACTATTGCTTTTGCAATAAGAAATAAAGTCAAGAGTTTCTATCAAATATTTAGTACAAGATTTGCTGTTTCCAAAGCCATGCTGCTGGATTTTAAATAATTTATTTTTATAAAGATATTTTTTATTTTCTTTCAACTTTAATGAATTATAATATTTTGCACGGAATTAATGTTAATAAAAACTAAACGGTTATTGCCTACCAGTAAAAAAAATGGAAATAAAAATGATTATAGTATATAAAATTATTATCAGAAATCTTGTAAAAAGTTACTATTTTTATTCAATGTAAAAAACACTATATTTTTTATAGTGAAATCTAAAATAATATATTTTATAGTTTATAATTTATTTATTTTTAATTTGAAATTTGTATTTTAGTGTTTTTCTTTTAACTTTATTATATTAATATTAGGGAATAATAGAAAATAATAAACAAATCATTAAAAAAGTATTTAATATTTTAGGGTCTAGTACAATCTTCTTTTTTAATCCAGTGTTATTTTATTATGTATATGGATATATGTATCAAGGGTAAGACATGATAAAATTCTTCCCAGCATATATCAGCAACTGGAAATTTTTTCCTATACTTTTCCTTGTTCCAATTATAGTTTTTTTACTTTTTAAAAGTTAAGAGCCTTCCTTTTTTGTTTTTAAGTATTATGACGTGTTCTAACTAACTGCTTAATGAGGTTTTGTTTTTAGGTCAAGTGGTAACTTTGCTTTTATGATTCAAGTCGGCATTCCCGACTTAAATATCTTTGATTTCTATAGTAATAATAATAGCTTGTTTTGGGGGAAAACAAACCAATTATTATCCGGGTAAATATAAAAAAGCAATCGTTTTACTTAGTAATTGGTCGGCTTTACGTGAATAAAAGTTTTAGCATTTTTCATTAAGTTATTATTCACGTAAAACTGAGCAATTACTGAGTAAATTGCTTAAATTTACGTGAATAAAAATACTTGCAAAACTCCTTAAGTTTTCATTCACGTAAAACTGACCAATTAATGAGTAAAAGCAAATGTTTTTTTTTTATTTACCTGGCCGATTATCTCTATATATTATTGCCGAACTTAATAGTAGTGTTAGTGCTCATTCGAGCGTGTTTGATAGGAACCCTTTGGCAGCCATTGCAACCAAGGTAATAGCGAGAAAGAGTCGCAACACTTTGTTTTATAAGAAAACGTGAGTTGATATGTATGTAAATACCTAACTTACCTAAACTTCAAATTAGGTAATGAAACATTTATAAAGTTTTACAATATGATTTTTACTTGAAAATTGCATTGCGTCATGCTCTCCTTAATTTTGATCAATAACATCTATTTCCGTTAAAAAAAAATCATTATATAGTTTTAATAACTTTCGTTTAACAACATACCAGCTTGGCAAAGTGGATAGCACGCCAAGCTTCTGAACAAGTAAGTGATTGTCCGTAAAATACGTATGTTCGGTAGGCAAGAGGGGGTCTGCAAATGGCGTATATGAAATGGGAGGGCAGTGGGTCAACTATTTAAAGAAAGGAGACACTAAATTAAAAAAAATATTATAAAATGATAGATAAATAGGTTAAAAGCGTTGGTACTTTTAGAAAGGTATGTAGAACATTTAAGTGAAGACGACATTCTACTTTTGAATTGAAAAAGTTTTTTACTTTTAATTTGATTTGTAAAATTGCCCCCGTTTTACTATCATTAGTAAGCTCACTCAAAACTATGTGCCGATTTCTTGGTTAGACTATTTTTCATATTAAAAAAAAAGTAAATATAGTCTACGTGCACATTGTTACGTAAACAAGTAAAAACCATCAACGTCGTAGATGGTTTTTACTTGTATAAAAGAATTCATATAAAATGATAAGGCTGATATATCTAGCTTTAATTGTCGTATAGGATTTTTAATAACCATATTTAAAGAAGGATTATTAAAATAATTTTTTTTTCAGTTTTCTAGTAGATTTACTTACTGATAAGCAATTATTATTTCCTTACTGATAAGTAATTATAATTATTATTGCTATTATTGTTATAATTATTATGATCATCCTGTTTACAGCTATTTAAAATCATTGTAAAAAATAGTATATAACACTTCATTTCTTTTTAAAATTCTTTTTTTTTTAAAAGCTTCACGAGTTGATTCTTGAATCTATTCATGTCAAAAGAACTCATTTGGCAATTTGTTGTACAACTTTATCCCATTGCAAAAGACAGATTTAAGTCTGCTTTTCTTGTTCTGATTTTTTAAGTAATAATTATTTTTATTTTTTATAAAATTATCTTGTAATTCATTATTTTTTTTACAAAATCCTTGAAAGACACTCATTTTTTGTAATTGAATAGTATTGTGCCCTAATGTAAATACTTTCATTTTAAATTCAATTAAATCATCGGGAAACTTGTTAGTAAGTTTTATCATTTTGTAAGTTACACTGTAAATTGCATATATAACATTGTGTGTGTTATTTAAAAAGTACTTGTATTGTTTTGATATATAAACAACTAAACTG